TGGCATGTGGTGCTGGGGGATTGAACCGCGGTCCCTGATGCCTTGCCAAGCTTGTTCTAAGTAGGTGCTTTAGACCACTGAGCCATCTCTCCAGCCCCATAGTTAACTTCTTATTACTTTATGTTCTAATGGGAACGCATCTTTCCAAGCACTACAAAACCTTTCCATGTCTTGAGCACTTATATATACACTAAAACTCACACAATCCTAAAGTAAAATTACTTAATTGCAGCATACTTAGAAAGCTATTTTTGAAATGAAAACATTAGGAGCAAGTGAAATAGCCCTGCAGGTATGCAGGCAGGACTGCTCTTGCCCTTAGGAATCCCATGCTGCTCCACGGTGGTCCTGCAGCTAGGGAGGCCTCTTGGCTTCTGCACCTTGGCTGCAGTGGCCACCAACTTCACAATGGAAGTGTTTTTTTGTTTTGTTTTTTAAGTACCAGAAATTGCCGGGGAGATGGCTCAGTGGAATAAGCTCTTGCCTGGCAAACACAGCGACCTGAGTTCAATCCCCGGTTCTGCCCCCCCCCCCCCCGGTTAAAAAATTAATTAATTAATAAATTAAGTACCAGAAATCAAACTCAGGGCCTTGCACTTGCCAGACAGACACTGTGCCACTGAACGATATCCACAGCCTGACAGTGTGTATTTTGGTTCCTATGCCAATCTAAATGCTTCTAGTTTAGTTTCTTTCCCCACCATTAGAGGGAAAAGGCACACTTACATAAAGACCAAAGCAAGCCCTGCTGACTGCATGTGGGTTTACTTCTCCAGAGGAAGAGTCACCCAGAAGAGTTACTCTACATGCTCAGCCAAGGTGTTACAAGGAATGGCTTGTTACCCTGACAGTACAATGGAGTCCCTGACTGTTGCAGCAGCAAAGTTCAAATACACATGATGATGACCTTAAGGCATTCCCTAGCTTAGCTGTGGAGCAGTATTAGCATTTTGTCACATAAGCCTAAGTACTCTTTGCCCACACACACATGTGCAGACGTATGCATGCCTACTTCTGTTTCTGAACCATGTGAGCAAACTACCCCAATATGCCTGTGTTGATTTCCACACAGACCTAGGCCAACCTCTACAGACCCAAGGAACTCACTGGGACTCTGGCATAGGTACAGGCAGTTATGTTCTCAGAGTCAGGGTGTGAGGTGCTTTCCACATCTTTGGGGCTCAATGCCTGCTTAGAACACCTGTCATGGCACTGCAGGACAGCAGCTGGCACACAGCATAAAAATTTGAATTTTCTCATTCAAGCTTTCTTATCATTATCCTCTTTCTCTCTACCCAATCACAGCTGGTGACCATCAACTGTCACAGTGTCACAGCCTGCCCACCAATCCCATGTTGGCCAACAGTCCTGTGTTAGGAGACTCATGGACTCTTACAGGCACCAAGACAGAAGCTCTAAGAACACTCCCTCCATCCCATTGTTCTCAACAGTACCTTTGTAGTTGTGGGAGAGGAAGTGATCCCATTGCCAGCACTTTTCTTGGTGTGATCTGGAACCACACTCTGGCGACTAGGAAGGACAGAACTTGCCCTGGAGATAGGGCCCTCTGGACTCTTCTTAGAGCCTGGAATTCTGTCAGAGCAAGGACCCAAGTCAGGGGAATCCCCACACAAGCCCAAAGGCACTGCAGATCAGAAACATTACTGACATGTTTAGCATGCTGTTACAAGGAATGCCTTGTTACCCTAACAGTACAATGGAGTCCCTAACTGTTGCAGCAGCAAAGTTTAAATACACACGATGATGACCTGCAGGCATTCCCTAGCTTAGTTGTGGAATTAGTGTTAGCATTTTGTCATATAACCCTAAGCACTCATTGCCCCCCACCACACGTGCATAGACGTATAATCATGTGAGCTAACTACCCCAATATGCCTGTGTTGATTTCCACAGACCTCGGGTAACCTTCTACAGACCCAAGGAAACTCACTGGGACCCTGGCACAGGCAGAACTGAGGCAGAATCAGGGTAACCTGACCTTGGACTTGTGTTTATTTTAGGTAGATGTGAAGAACCACCTAAAGGAACCCCAAATATCCTAACATGCTTCTCTGAACTCTTGCCCCACCTTTTAGCCACAGCAAAGCCAAGAGGCCTTCTGGGGTTAGATTTTCAAGTCATCAGAAAGCAAAACAACCCTTGAATGCATCTTCCAAGCACAGGAGGGCACACAAAGCAGCAAAAACTGACATCATGTTTTCAACATCCAGGTTGCAGGCATCCCCAGAGCAGCTCTTTTGCTGGGTACAGTGATGGACATCTGTAACCACAGCACTCAGGAGCCTAAGGCCGGCCTGCTCTGCATAATGAGCTCAAGGCAAGCCTGAATTACAGCAAAAGCATGACTCAAAAAACAAAAACAAAGCAGGTGCGGCAGCCACCCAGTAGCCAACCCTCCCTGCCTGCAGGCCGCTGCTCCAGGGGAGGCATGTCTGCTGACTGTTATGAAAACGCATCTAATTTAGAGCCATAACTCAGAGACACAGGTGAGTTTGGCTTGATGCCACACGCTTATGATCTCAGTATTCAGAGAGGCTGAGGCAGGAGGACTGCAGCTTAGCTAGACCCTATCTCTAAAACAGAATAAAAAGGGTTTGGGGATGAAGCTTAGTGCTAAAGTGCCCCTAGAGTGGGTATTTGATTCCCAGTACCCACACCCACAAAAAAGCAAACAAGCGCTAACTGCTCCATAAACATTCAAAGTAGCATCAATGTGAGGATAGATGGAATCCCATTCTGCCTTTTCCCCAAAGGTTTCATGTTTTACAGATGACCAAGCAGATCTGGCTACAAAGGGTCATTCCCAATGCATATGCTCTATTACATCTGACTGTAACTGCCCAAGTCTTTTCTCTCCTATGGAATTCCCCATTCCTCCAAGGGAGGAAACTGATGGGGAGAGAGCCCTGGTTGGGCAAAAGAGCACTCGTGGGTGCATCTGTGGAGGGTGTAGATTCCTCACCGCAAGTAGAAGAGCACATACGCCTGCTGGTTCAGAACCACTTTGATGTTGCTGGAGTGAACCAGGGAGTCGTTCATCTGGTACCACTGTCCATTGCTTGCCTGGGCAGCACAGGGAACAGGAAGTGAAACAATCAGCACACATTACACAATCCCCACTATTTACAAAGAAAGTGGTGCTAGTTACTACATGTATCCATGTGCTAACTAGCCAGTGCTCACGACGGTACACCTCCAAGTATGTACTATCTATATCATTCCAAATGTGACCCTGAAGCATGCGCCAGTCCTGCCTTCTTCCTAGTACCCCTTTAAAAGAGGACCATGTAGATTCAAGTGCCATACCATTTCTGCCAATGTCTGGCCTCCAAGGAAATTTTTCTAAGTCTAAGGACAAAGGGGCTACCTCTCCAAGTCTTCCATAAATGTTAAGAACACTAGACATGGTGGGATCATTTCTTAAAGACAGACTTTCACTGAACATACTGAAACAACAAGGACTTGAACATAGGTCTAAAACATTGTCACTTCAGAGAATAAAGGTACAACCTGCCCAGGAAGCAGTGTAAGGCCACTATCTGAAGTGACTGATAAAACCTGCCAGTGCTCACCTTCACATAGCAGTAGTAGTGCCCAGCATGGCAGCTGTAGCCCGAGTGGACCAGCACAGCATACAGTCCGTACATGACAGGGTCGCCATTACTCTGAGACATATATGGACGGATGTTCAGGAATTCTGGATAGCCTACATCCTGTTTGAAAAGTTCAAAAGAAAGGCAAATGATACTTACGCTTGAGAGTAAGGATCAACAGGCCCTTTCCACCCACAATTACATGAAATGCCTGACTTGGCTGGTCTCTTTAATGAACTGGGCAAATGGGTCTTGGGAACAGTGTAGTAGAACATCCCTACACACACACAAGCAGCTGACATACGGATCTTATTCACCTGACCTATGGGAAACTGTTATTATCCCACTAAGTGACTGATAGTTTATGCTTATCATTGTCACAGATCTACACTTACTGTTTCCCAACTGTAATATAATTCATTTTATTTTCCTCTGCTTTATAGGGAGAGAGACAGAAATCATGTTGGGAGAGAGACAGAAATCATGCTGGATTTAGGTCTGTAGAAACAAAAGTACTGAATCAATTCAGCCAAAGGCCCCAAGTAAGTTAAAATTTTAATGCACTGGACCAGAAGCATCTCAACATTAACTTACTACAGAAATGAAATATTTTTCCTTAGGAAGAAATATTATTAAGTTATCTTTCAATGATAGGCAATGTGTCTGCATTTCTACTTACACAAATAAATTTCTGGTAGTACTAATGAGTGAACCCAGCCTTGCACATACTACACAAGTGCTCTACCCTATAACTCTCCTAGGTTGGAATACTCTAAGCTATCCAGGCTAGCCTCAAATTTGGGCCCCTCTTCTCTCAGCCTCCTGGGTAGCTGGGATTAGCAGTCTGCACCACCACACCCAGGGCACAAATCAAGTACAATCTATGCAGTGGGAAACACAGGTCTTAGTGTGTCAGGTCTCAGCATTTAGGGAGCTCTTGACAGGTGCACACTGACAGAAATGCATACGAGTGCCATTCAGGTTCCAGAAGGAACCTGTGCCATCACTTGCATCTAAACACTGCTGTCTTCTGTCACCATCTGTTAATTTTATCTGTTCTGCAACTTCCTCATAAAGTGTAAATTTTTTTGGCTGGCTTCTTTTTGATCAATATGTCTGTGAGATTCACCTATAAATTCTTTCATAGCACTGACAAATATCAAAAGCCCATATATACTAGGGCTCCAGACCTTTAATCAAGCAACCCTGTTAGGCATGGAGCCTTGGAAGTCAAAGACGCTAATGCTTCTCAAACTGGACTCCATTGGAGAATGAGTTCCAAGAGGTGCTAACAGAACACAAGCTCCTCGGGGCAAAACTACACTGACCTTTCTCACGCTGTCCAGCACACACAACAGAAGAAACACACATTAGCTAGACGAGGGAAAGCATGACTCTTCTTCATATGTCCAGAAAATTTTTCTTGCTCAATTTTCTTCTTAGATGTTTAAAAAGCAACATGCTTACTACAGGGTCTAACAAGGCCTTGAATTACTGCCACTGCTGAAACTAAGGTTCAGACAAGTCCCTTACCCCAAACCACCTAACCAGGCTGTAACTACAAAACATACTCTAGACTCTTAGGAACCACACACATCTTTTGCCATGGTGCAAACAGATTTTTACTCTTTATTCCACAAAAGACCACCACATGCAACTGTACCTGTTCTAGAGATCAACAGCAGATCAGCACTAGAGTCCAGTGTTTGTCATACTTATTTCTTAAGGAAACCCTGGCACTCCACATTGGGAAAAGGCTAAGAGCAGGCCGAGATTAAGGGAAAAAAATCCAGTAAGACTGGATTTTTAAGTTCTCAAACTGCAATGTGTAGAATCATGTAGAGATTTTGAAGAAATACAGATTTTGGGTCCTATACTCCAGGGAAAAGCCAGGAGTCTTTGCCTTATGTAAAAGTCCAGCTGACTTGATGCACACCAAGACCCATGGAGTAGACTGGGGTGCAGTTGAGCCCTCACCTTGGTGATCTTTCCCCCACTGAAGTTGGCAAAGCGCTTGAGGGAGAGGGTTAAGACATTGGATGTTCTGTGGATGGTGAAGCGCTTGCTGGCTGGAACCTTTTTCTTGCATCTGTGAAGAAAGTGAATAAAAAAAGGTCTTTCGAGAGTGCTCTGAGAACACTTGTGCTCATGTTACATTAATAAAAGGAACAACTGCTCAGTAATAATGGAGACTTCTTGAATGAGACTTGTCAAGAAGACATCGAAATCAGAATGTCCTAGTCAGAACAAACCAAGCAGATGTGGGAAAATGATAAAATGGGTAAGCAAGAGATGAAAGCAAACAAAGCCAGAAGACAAGCAAAGCCGAGGAAATGGAGACAGAAGGGAAGTTTCCAGAGCTGAGGAATAAAAATGGTGTTTTGGCATAGAACAAGAAATTTAAAAAGCAGAATTAAGAAACTGTTCTACAGGGGTAATTATAGCTTCACAGTGACCTACATATAAAGACATCCACTCGGTAAGACTGCAGATGCTGAAAGGACAAGGTGTTACATTTGCTGAAACTGTAAGATGCTTGAGATACTTCAAGTTATAGCCACAGAGCTTGTCTTATCTGAAAAGCAGGATGGTGTGGTGGTTCTTTGCCACATCCTGTTGATGAGATTGGGCAAGTCCCTTCCCCTCTGAGCCTCAGTTTTGCTGCCTTGGGCAATGGGGGTGACCATAGTCCCCATGTCACAAGTTAATATCTGTAGACCCCTTGGAATAGTGACAGGTGCTGTGTAAACTCATGTCTACTCCAATGTGTTACAGGGGGGCCATGTTGACAAGAAAGACTCATACACAGGCTACTTAAGCCATGTGAGCAGGGTCACCTCCAAGGAAGCAAATGAAGGGTACTGGGTAAGGTGACTTATTTTGCAGCTTTCTGGATGTTCAGTCTTTGCTGAGAACAAGGTGATACTTACTTGGCACACATATAGGCATTCTCTCCACTCAGGACATCCGGTTTCACAAAAAGTTCCAGAGCACGCACAATATTTGCAGCTTGCTGAGGATAAAATGGGATAAACAACAGGAAAAAAAGGCTGACTCAAGATATGCCAATTTAAGGTCTTTTCAGGCTGAGGAAGCAAATCACAGAACTTGACTTGCATAAAAATTGGTTTGTTAGCTGCTACCTCCTGGGACTTGGAATACCCATCACAAAGGAGGAAGGAGCCAGGCTGTGTCCGTTTTCTAGCAGTGGCAAGTGACAGCCACATGAGGTCATCCAGGTGAGTCAGCCACTTTCATCTAGATTGTGGCTGATCTGCTCACACGGCCCAGCAACAGAAAGCTCAAATAAAGAAGAGGGCGAACCCACGGTGTCCCAAAGTCTGCAGCTCCTATGGAATGGCTCCCTAGCATATCAGGGTCCCTCTCCTCAGCCTGTGTAACAGAGATGCCCCTATTTATGGCTCAGGACACGAAACTTGGTTTGTTTCTTATTAAAGCCATATCAGTTTCTAATGTTAGTTGGAGTCTAAGTATTTTTCTTATCTATTCTGGTAATGTGCCTTATTGCCCTGCCTGGCCCTCCACCCAGTGTCCCGATGAAGAAGACATGATCCCAGTACACCACAAGTACCCGAATCTCTAGCGCCACATCCAGGTAGGGGTCGTAGGTGTCTGAGACGCTCTTGCACACGGAGCACTTCACTGAAACAGACAAAGAGCAGTGAGCAGCACAGCCGCAAGAGGACTGCCAGGCTCCCCACACCTAGAACTGTGGGGGCAGAACTCTCAGCCTGCTTCTGTCAACAAAGAATCATCTGACCAGGCCCTGAAGTCAGGAGGTGGGAGAAAGCCCTGCACCAGCAGTGCTCACGAGATGCCAGGCCTCCCCACACGAATCCTGTCTGTCACTGACCACTAACTGCCCTGGGGTGACTAGCACTGCTCTGCAGTGAGAGAACAGCTGCACCTGGAGGACCAAACAGCAAGCTGGGAGAAGAACCTTGTCACTATAGTCATCACTTTTCTCTTACTCTGTCACAGGGACATGGCTGTGAATTAGGGGCAGAGAGGCCAAGGGCCAGGACCTCCATGATGTACTGGGTCTTCCTAGTAAGGAAAGAGCTCACAAACACTCAAGGTTTTCTGGGTTAATATCTAATAAGCTAGAGTAGGATGGAGAAAATGACTTCCCTCACCTCGTGATCTGAGATAGCCTCCAAAAATCTGATGCACCAAGGTGGTTGCCTGTGTCTGACGATCCAACCTGAAAAAGAGGCAAGCCTCTGGGAGATGACACTAAACAACACAGCTGTGTTCAAGCCAGTTCTCCCAGCCAGTAACCAACTCAATGTGACACTGAGAAAGCCAGCTCTGCTGGCCCTGGAACTTGCACTTCAGGGCCCAGAAGTGCTGGAGAAAGAGGCTCTTTGCAGAGTTGCCCCTCACAGCAGGTAATCTCACTACCCACTTGACAGAAGACAAAACATGCAGAAAAACACTGCATCCTCATGCAGTCCTATATCCTTTCCTTTCACTGTCAGTAAAAAGACCCAAACCTGGTACGGGGTTGGAGGCTGAGCCCTCCCTGGGCTTTGGGATAGGAGAGTAGGGAGGAGCAAAAGCTCTTTTTCCACTCCACAGCAGAGGACAGTAGGGTCATGAGGCCCCCAGCACAAAATACTAACTGGGACCCAGAACAACACTACGCCTTGGTAACCATTCTGCCTTGCAGAGCTAAGAGCTCATGGTCTTCTTGACAACTAGCCTATCACAAAGCGCTAGGAACCTACTCATATGTGGCGAGTACTCATTTCCATTCCAGGTTCTGTGTGCTACCCTCCACATTGGCCCCTTTTCCCCGTTCTGAAACTTTCTTGTCACCAGGGCATCAAGCCCCAGCTCTGGAGTCTTTTCTCTAGAGACAATGGCACTTTGAGACTACTGGGTCCCTTCTGGCTCTTCACAGGGGCTACATGGCCCGCTTCATACTGCCTGTATGGATCCACCCATGCAAGTGTGGTTTCTCTACCTCCTGCAGAGCCTGCAGCTGGCCCAGGCCTTTCCACACTGCACTGCTTCCAAGATTGGGAGCTCCAAAACATCTATCTAGGGGACATTTTTACCTTGCAAAGTTAGGAAATAAAAAGGCAACTGCCATGATCTACTGTTATCACCTCACCATCAAAAGGGATATTTTAACTCCAAATAAACTAGCGGGGAGGAATTTTAGAGGATACTGAAAACCTAAATGCAGCTGTACATCCCAGTAGCTGCCAAGTTCCAGGTCCCAGAGAAGTGAGAAGCAGCCCACACTAGGGCCCCACAGAGTCCAGGCTCAGCGTCACGGCAGAGGCGGCACAACCATCAGCATGAGGCTAGGTCCTGACAGCACATCGTATCATATGACCTGAGCAAGCAGGATAGCTCAAGGACAATGTAGGTGGGGAGGAAGGCCACTGGGGTTAGCAAAAGGACTATTGAGGCTTGGGACTGGGTGGGAAGGGCAAGGCAGGGATAGTTAGGATCCCTAAAAGAAACCAAAACAGTAGAGGCCTGCACACCCTCCAATAACCCAGAAAAGGCCTATTAACTCAAGAAAATGCCCTGACTATGCTCACAGAGGAGGGGCTGTGGCTTCAAAATCCTGAGACGCACAGACTCAGAGAGGAAGGTGGGCCCAGCAGAGGCAGAGGGGCTCAGGTAGAAAATAACAATAAGCAAGATATAAAACATTCATCAGGGGCTGGGGAGATGGCTCAGTAGAATAAGCAAGCACAATGGCCTAAGTTCAAGCCCTGCTTCTGAAAATGAATAAATAAATAAATAAATAAAATTAATTTATTAATTAATAAATAAAATCACCAGATAAAAACTATTCTGGGGAAGCAGGCACAAAGCAGAATAAAACAATGCAAATTCCACACTGAATTAAATATCCTCTGATAGCAGTGGGGATATGAAAAAACACTCTCAATAAAAAAGAAAAAAAAAAATTTTTGAGATAAGAGTCTCACTATGTAGCTGGCTTCAGACTTGCAGCAACCCTTCTGCCTCAGCCTCCTAAATGCTGGGATTATAGGTATGCACTGTCACACCCAGCTCAAAACTTTGTAAAAATAAAAATAGAGAAAACTGAACTCCAGAAAGAAACAGAAGATTTCTCACACACATACACACACACACACCCCAGAAATGAATACAAAGGTATAAACTGCTCAAGGGAGAAAAGATTTTCAGAATATATATAAGGCACTACAGAGCAGGAAAACAACCAGGTAACCAACACACTGTGAAGATACAGCACCCAAGAGAAAGCAGTTGAAAGAGAAAACCAGTAACAACAGAGTACAATGTAACAACAAATAAAAAACTAGAACAAAGGAAATCTTCCAGAAGCTAACAAAAGTGCCCTCAAAACAAACAAAAGGAGTGTGTTGCCAAGTGAGAGTGACCTCCCAATCGATGCTGACTGTCATCTGTCATCACAGGAAGATCACTTTCCCTTAGGCCACACTTGGCAGCATGACACACTCATTTATAAAGCTGGTTTCATGGGAGGGCTGCTGCACACTCTAAAACCACAGCACTTAAAACGGCACCAATCTAGAAGCAATAGTGTTCAGACACCACTTGGCCACTGTTAGTGGCGCAGGCTAGGTTAGTAATGCTTTTCCTACATATGTCAAGCGCTAATCTATGCCAATTTTACCTTGTCAGGTAACAATATGCTACATGGGAAAATTAGGTAATCAGCTGTAAGATATAAGCTAGCAAAAACATTAGGCTCTAAAGAGTAAAAAAAAAAAAAAAAGGTGTATCACATACCTATAACCCTCGCACTAGAGAATTGAGGCAGGAGGATCATGAGTTTAAGATCAGCCTGGTCTACACAGTAAGAGCACCCTGGATTACAGGGCAAGATACTGTCTCCAAAACAAAATACCTCTGGCCCCCAATCCTCAAGGCCTCCAAGCAGAAAAATCAAATTACAACATCAAGAGGAGCCGGAAAGATGGCTCAGTAGAATAAGTGCTTCCCTGCCAAGTGCAAGGGGCTGAGTTCAATCTCCGGTTCCACCAAATAAAAACAAAAACAAAAACACACATCAAGAGAGTGACACCTCAAATCTGGGAAATTTTTTACACTGCTGTTTCTGTGCATATCAGGGGCAGGATGCCTGGCATGAACCCATAGGCTAGCACAGAGAACACCAGCAAGCCCTAGACACTTGAAGCAATCTAAAGCCAAACAAAAGGAGGAATGATGGTATAAGAAAAGGGCACAAAGCCTATCTTTTGCAGCAACAAATAATGCACACTAGAGTGACAAGACAGAAGAAAGGGAAAGAGCGAGGAGATACAGAATACTGCTGAAACTAGGGCTAGCGAGATAGCTCAGCAGACTAAGAACTTGCTTAGGCAAAGGCAGGGACCAGGGTTTGATCCCTGGCACCACATACTGCACTGGCTCTGCCTGGGGGTGCACTGAGCTGGCCACTGAGATCAGGTGTGGTGGCATACACCTGTAATCCCAATATTGGGAAGGCTAAAAACAGGAGGATCACTATGAGTCCAAGCTGTGTAGTGAAAAAAGAATACCATTGAAACGGACCAATTAGCATTCAAGGGTTGAGAACACAGGGCCAGGGCATTTAAACAGGAAAGATGTACAAAGGAGTCACTAGAACAAATATGCTGATATTTCCAGACAATAAAATGAATTTTATTTTTTTTTATTTTTTTTTAAAGAATTATTTATTTATTTATTCATTCATTCATTCATTTTGTGTGTGTGGCCAGCTCAGCCCACCAGGGGGCGGGGCTGTCTGGCATGTGGTGCTGGGGACTGAACCGTGGTCCCTGTGCTTTGCTTGGATTAGCTTGTTCTAAGGAGGTGCTTTAGACCACTGAGCCATCTCACCAGCCAATAAAATGAATTTTAAAAATAAGTAGGCAAACAGAAAAAGCACGGCAAATATGCCATCTATAATAAGTGTGAGATATGAGTTAAGAATAACCTTTTCAGTCATAACAATACACTGAGAGGGCTTGACTTCCCTATTAAAGACATTTGACTTGGCATCTGCAAACCAAACACTAGGATGCCTAAAACAATGATCAGAGAGGGATGGGATGAGCAGAGGTGTGTGGGCAGGAGGAAACCTCCCAGAGAGGGGTGCAGTTCCAACACAGGCAAAGGACAGAGCCAAAAAGTACAGATTGTGACAAAGATACTTACTAATGCTACAGCAATTCTCAACAAAGACAGGGCAGAGTGGGGATCCACCCACAAGCACCAGCACAAAGCAAAACGCAGCAGCAGCCTGGGCTCAGAGCATCACAGAGCATAGGAGGAAGTGATCATGGACTCATGGACACAGCCTGAGGATGAACGCAATGCAATTAACTGCACAGATCTTAAAGACCCAGACAGCATATGGCACGCCATGGCAGCATAAGAACAGACAGTTGCAAGGGCACAAATTGCAAATACTGTGTATTTACCAAGTCACAGAGAAAACACCACAAAGTTCCACAGGCATAAACACACTCTAATCACAATGTAAGCAATACCAAAATCACTACCATCAGCAAAAACTTAAAAAGGGCCATTTGCCTGCCACCTAAGTAATATTCCAAATGATACTAAACAATGGAAAGCTCACGCTTGTTTCTTACCACTAAATTTCTCTAGAGACCAGCAGCAACTCTCACAGATGGGTATTCAGTGAGCATCCATCTCCCTGTAGCCTCCCAGCTCTCACTGCACACATGGCCTTCCTCCCATCAACCTCTGTGCCGATGCTAGCCACCAGCTCAGATTACACACCTGGACTCTTCCAAAGGCAAGCCATGCCCCACCTACCCAGCCCTCCCCAACTTCTTCCACCAGCAGACATCACCTAACTGGTCTGGGTCCATGTGCCAGTTCCTGTCCTAAACTCTCAAGGTGACCATGCCCTGTGCCAGGGTCAGCCACTAGAGCAGATCCCCACATCCCACTGGAGGGCTGAAATACCACGTCCCTCCCAGGCCTAGCCTTGCTTAATGCTTTCCTCCTGACCTTCCCTGATCAAAGAGGCTAGGATACCCCAACTTTCCATAATCTGGGTGTGCCAGGATGAGGAAATGCTGCATTAGCTCCTGAGACTTAAGGGCATTTTTTAAAAAAAATTTTTATTTATTTATGTGTGTGTGTGTGTGTGTGTGGCCAGCTCAGCCCACCAGGGGCGGGGCTGGCTGGCATGTGGTGCTGGGGGATTGAACCGTGGTCCCTGTGCTTTGTTAAGCTTGTTCTAAATAGGTGCTTTAGACCACTGAGCCATCTCACCAGTCCCTTAAGGGCATTTTTAATCTCTAGATTCCCAGAGCTGAATTTAGTGTCAGGCACATAAGAGGTCAACAAACAACTACTGGAGGAAGCATTTCACCAGGGAATGGCACATCAAATGGCAGACCCAGGTATGTGTGTGTACACATGCATGTGTACACACTTGTGTGCATATGTGCGCATACAAGTGCAAGAGCAAGAGCTCATGTCCCCTTAGGGGAAGGGAATAGCATGTAACTACATCCTCTGAACAGGCAAAAATCATTCAAAAATTTGGTGACAAGTTTTCTTCATGAAACTTACAGTTTTCTTTATACATGGTTTATTTACTTAAGAATCTCATGTACAGTCTAGAAGTTTCCTAAGCTATTTCAGTTATTTCCAAATACAAGTTTTAGTTCTCTTCCAAGCTCAGATGGGAATCAGGAGAACCAAGCACTCCCTGCCTGGTCTAAGCTGAACCATGGTCTCTAGGACAACACACAGCACTTGACAATGATGGCAGGTACATATGTGAGAACTCATGCTGCAATCAATGATTACATTTTCTACCCTTCCAAATCCAAACAAACAGAAAGCAGGCAGGGTAGAACTGTAAAACTTACAATCTTGCTAACCTCAAGTTCTCCTATGTGCTGATAAGTTGTTATATGAGACATTATAATTCTTACTACCCTGTCCTCTATCAATGTAACAAAATGGTTTTTTTTTTTAAATTTTTTATTTGTGTGTGTGTGTGTGTGTGTGTGTGTGTGTGTGGCCAGCTCAGCCCACCAGGGGGCGGCGCTGGCTGGCATGTGGTGCTGGGGGATTGAACCCTGGTCCCTGTGCTTTGTTAAGCTTGTTCTAAATAGGTGCTTTAGACCACTGAGCCATCTCACCAGCCCCAAAATGGTTTTATTTTATTTATTTATTTTTTGTTTGTTTGTTTTTGGTGGAACCCGGGATTGAACGCAGGCCCTTAACACTCGTTCTACTGAGCTATCTCCCCAGCCCCTAAAAAAGTGGTTTTAAAAAGACCAAAAGTCTATACTCTGAGATCTTTAAAGATCTGCTCAATGACTTTCCCTCTCTGGGCTGCTTGGGACAGAGCTACCACTCCCTGGCTCTGGCACCTGATCCAATTACATGGACCTTGGCCAGCTACAAAGATGCAGCAGGAGACAACCCTCTCCCAGGGCATCCCCTATTTGGGCTTCAGTAGTGGCCCATGCATACATGCAAGTTCTGCCTCAGGTAGGGCAGTGAGAGCTAGCTGTCTCTGCTGTAAAAAAGGAATCTGCTGTTGTCCCTCAGGCAGGGTAAGAAAGGCTAAGCACATACTTGGCATAGCCGTTCAGACAGGCCTTCTGCATGGCATCGATAGTGTACCGGAGAAACTCATGTGCATCCTCTTGGTTCCCAAAGCGGAAGTGGCGGGCAATCTCTGAGGAAGAAGAAAGGGGTAGAGAAGAGTGCTCCTGCCTCAGTGACAAGGGGAGACCACCCTTTTATAGCACAATGTGAGGAAACCAAGCACTCTGCATCACTTTCTATAGCCTAGTCTCTATCAGTGTAACAGGTAACTGCTCAATGAGATCTAATATGTGAGTTTGGCTGGGCACAGTGGCTCACACCTGCAGTTTCAACTACTGTGGAAAATCAGTGGAAGCACAAGAGCTTGAGGCTGGCCTGGGCAACATGGCAAAATGTCCCTACTCCCAAAGAAAAAGAGAATATAAAATTCCACTGATGAACTAGTCTTCCAAGAGCCAAAACAGAGCTCAATGGATTCTAACCATGTGAGTCTACAACTTAGGTTCCATGAACTCATCTTTTCTACCATGTGAATTGGAAAACACATCTACACAGCATGTGGTGGCAGATTCCTTTAACACTAAGAAAGGACTTGGCAAATTCCCATCCTTCTCTCTCAGCGGTCCCTCACACTCACCTGCAAGTCTTAAATATACCACATATCCTCAGCCCAGTCAACTCACCTGTCCTTGAGACAGGGGCCATGCCCCACCCAGCTCATGAAGCTTTCTGTCAGTGTAACTCCCTAGCCCAAGTGCGTTTCAACTACCATGCCTTTAGTCTGTAAGACTCAATGTGGTACTACTAGCCAGTAAGGATTCCTAAGACTTTTATAACATTCTCCCCCCTACCACCAACTCAGGAGCACCAACTACAGAGCTAGCGTTTGGCACCCAAACCATGAGTGCATTCTTACTTTTTAGGTCTCGGATGAAGGAGACTGGCTTGATGGCATTACCACTGTTGGCAAAGGCCTGGACGATGTGGTTCTGCATGACACACAACATGCAAAAGCTTCCTTGGTGACCTGTTTGTGAAGGAGTAGCAACATTAAGACGAGAGCTTTTGAAAGCATTTGGACTAATACCACTCTGAAAAAAAATGCAAGCAAACAAGGGTAAACCAGTCTGTGAAAGGACAGGTGGGCCACAGAGATCCCAGACTACACAAAGATTTGTGGACTGCCTGGGAAATGTTTTTCTCTGCTGGATGGGATTTTCCAGGGCCACAATGCTTCCACTGCTATAATTTTAACACTCTCGTACCATTATTGTTGTTTTAATGCTAGTGACCTATGTGAGAACCTTTCCATATTTAACATATAAACATACACATATATTTGGTAGTACTAGGGATTAAACACATGGCTTTTGTACTGAGTTAACTCTATAGTCCTTTTTGTTTAAGACAGACTTGATAAATTATTACATTGCCCAGGTTGGGCTCAAACTTGCCATCTTCCTGTCTCAGCCTCCCACAGTGCTAGGATTATAGGCATGTGGTGCCACAGCTAGCTCATTAGTATTCTTTAGTTACACAATGAATAAGTCTGGTTTGCAACATGAAGTGTAAGAAAATATCTTTAATGCCTCAGTCATTGCATAGTCAATATGCTGTAATATTTTAGAGAACCTCTGATCTACTGTGTCTAGTAAAGCCCTTATTATTATTTAGCAAGGATTGAAAACTCTGTAAGGCAAAAATCAGGGACAGGTAATATAGAATAGGTGCCAGGCGTGGTGGCACAATCCTAGAATCCCAGCACTCAGGAGTCTCAGGCAGGAGGATCACCATGAGTCTAACACCAGTGTGGGTGACACAGTGAGTTCAAGGCCGGCCTGTACCATAAAGTTAAGAGCCTGGCTGAAAAAAAAGGTTGGGCATGGGGGCACATGCCTATAATCCTAGTGCTAGGGAGGCTGAGGCAGAAGGAATGCTGTAAGTTCAAGGCTAGGCTGGGCTATACAGTGAGTTTAAGACCAGTTTGCACTACAGAACAAGACCCTGTATCAAAAACAATAAAACAAATCCACCATCATATACATGTATATTTTACAAGCGAAGGTCATGGGCCAGACTAGCTTCTGTATAAAAAGCAGATGGTCCTTATAGGCCTTGGACCAGAGATGCACAAAGAAGAACACTGCTCAGCTCTACTCCATTTTAGGTGTCTTCATCAGTAATGCTGGGGAGATAGTTCAGTAGAATAAGCACCTGCCTGGCAAGCGCAGGGTCCTGAGTTCAATCCCTGGTACCGCAAAAAAAACAAAAACAAAAACAAAAAAACCTCCTGACCATCAGTAAAACAGTAGTGTAACAGTTAACTTCCCCTTAATCCCATTCTTCACATTCCTTCATCCAAGGTGATCACTAACCTGGGTTAGGCAATTATTCCAATTCATGTATTTACCACATTAGTACACACTGTGCAATCACAAGTGATAAACGGCACCGTGGCTATGTGTTTACAAGCTTATGCAGCTGGGTACTGTGTGTATTAACAACCTGGTTTCTTAAAATCCACATGGGCACAGCTCTAATCATACAACTAGAGTATTTCACTGAATGAACAGAACAGTCTGCAGCTCTGTTCCTAACATGTTCGGCTCATCAACTTTTCCTGCCGTCTTCACTGGACATGAAGTTAGAGCTGTTCACAGGCTGCAGTCCAAGGCTCTGCGGGTTTGTACTGTTAATTCACATACACGTTCTGTGGATGCACTCTTGGGTTGCTGACTGTCTGGGCAGATTTTTGCTGCAGGCATTTTAATATACATACCAGATCTTATCTACAGAACTGCTGGGTAATAGATTTCTTCAAACTTGATGCTGAGCTATTTCCCAAAGTGATTACACCAGCTCAAATCAGAAGTATAAAAAGAATCTCAGAGCTTTACCCTTTCTGACAAGTGCACTGTCACACATCTGAGCTTTTACCATTCAGCAGGGTGCAAAACAACATCCCACTGTGGTTTTCCTGAAGGCTACCAGGCTACCACTGCTTCATGTGCTTCTCTGATCTTGAAGTTCTTCTATAAAATCCCTGTTCCTAATTTCATCTTTTTTTTTTTTTTTTTAACAAGTTACCTTCTCCTTGTTGATTTACCACTCATTACCCATGCTTTGCTGATTACATGCCCCAGGCTTTGTGTCTCAGCTTGCAGGTGGTGGTCAACTTTTCTTTAATTTTTTTTCATGAATAAAAGTTCTTAATGGGGCTGGAGAGATGGCTCAGTGGTCTAGAGCACCTACTTGAAACAAGCTTGGCAAAGCACAGGGACCGCGGTTCGATCCCCAGCGCCACATGCCGGCCAGCCCCGCCCCCTGGTGGGCTGAGCTGGCCACACACACACAATAAATAAATGTAATAAATGAAAATAAACAAATATTTAAAAAAATAAAAATAAAAATAAATAAATAAATAAAAGTTCTTAATGCACCTAACTTTACCAGACTCCACTTTTGAGTCTTGTTTAAGAAAGCTCTCACCCCAAGATTAAAGATACTTACCTATATTTATAAATGCAGTTGCACTTGATATTGTTTTTCACCCATGCGAAATGTGGAATAAAACCAAGTTTTAATTAATTTTAGTTTCAGGTAATAAAAGGATGGATGCATGTAAAAAGCTGGTATGCTCTACATATATATGGGTCTTTTCCTGTGCTCCTGAGTCTATTTCACTGACTAGAACATAGATGTCTTAGAGGGGTAGGAGTGGGAGTACAGTCAGGGTGAGAGATTTGCAGTTCACTAGTACAGGGCTTGCCTAGCATGTGCAAGGTCCCGGGTTTTATTCCCAGAACACAGCAGAGAAAAAAAAAGTGTCTCAGTGATTTTTGGACTTTCACTTTTCTGTACGAATTTTAGAATTAACTAAATGTATATTAACCTACATATTAATTTGAGAATCAATATTATTACAACAGTGAGCCTTCCCTTTGTGAAGACAGCCTTCTCTCACACTTAATGTCTTTCAATAATGGTTTTCAACATACAAATAGCTAAATTTAGGTCTAGATTTCATTGTTTATATTTAAAATTTTTTTCATTTTTTTATGTATTTGGTACAGGGTCTCACTACGCAGCTTGGTAGTGATCCTTCTGTTGTCAGCCTCCGCAGTGCTGGGAATACAGGTATGCGCCACCACTCCCAGACTCATTCACAGGCTCAGCATTCCCCATGGGTGGGGCCAGCAGGGTACAGGACTGGTGTGGCATGAGGGACCCAGGATCAAACTCTGGTCCCAACACTTGCTAAAGCAGGCTCTTAGTCTGCTGAGCTATCTTGTTGGCTCTTCACTGTTTATATATATAGCAAATTGTTTATTGTTTGAGACACAAAAATTCAACTGAATTTTGTACAATGGTGTTATACCTAGCCACACTGCTAAATTCTCCTTGTTGAATTTTTTTTTTTTTTCTTTTTCCCAGGATAGCCTTGAACTTTTGGTGATCCTCCTGCCTCAGCCTCCTGAGCACTGGGATTACAGTGTGCACCACTATGTCCAGCCTGAATTTGTTCTGCATATGCATTCTTTTGGTTTCCTAAATAGTAGTATTTTTTCAAATGATAATAGTGTTGTTTCCCCTCTTCTTTTTCAGAAGTCATAGCTCTGGCTGGGACAAACACAACCTTAAATAAAAGACATGTGGATGATCATACTTCACCATGATTTAGAGTATACTTCCAATACTTTTTTTTTTTTTTTTAAATGTATTTAGTACAAGGTCTACAGGATCTCACTACATAATAGATCAGACTCAAAGTGATCCTCCCAAAGTGCTTGGATTACAGGCATGCACCACCATGTCATCACGCCCAATCTAGTCTTAATCAAGGTCTCCATGCGCCCCGGGGGTGGGGCCAGCACTGCACACCCAGGATCATATTGTGGAGATACCTTTTGAAAATCCCAACTTCTGTCTGAGTAAGTACTTTCCTGGGTAATTTGCTTGCAGGACCCATGCCACAACAGGTATGTTTGTTTGTTTTTCCCTCACTCAGCCCATCCCAAGGGCAGGGCTGGGAGCATGTGGTGCCCTGTGCCTGCCTAACCTTGCCTAAGCAGGGGCTTTAGATTGCTGAGCTATCTTGCCAGCCCCTAAACCTGGGTTTTATTAGTTCACACATGTCATCAACTCCACTCCTAAACTCCCATAGTCCATACAGGACCAGCTGCTCCCTAGTGAAGAGGTTTCCAGTTCCTCTAATTCACATTACCCCCCTTCCCTTCCCCCCAGCGCCACTCACAGCTCCTTGCATGTTCTCGGGAGAGCAGATAGTTGGCCAAAGGTGGTGTGTAGGTCAGGCACTGTACTGTGGCATTCAAGAAACAGGTGTTGCCCAGGTTGTGCAGCCCTGCGCCAACTCTAAAAACACGCTCCCACCTCAAAGAGAGCCGCTCTGTGGGAAAAAGCACTTTCTGTGGTGCTGGGACACCATCGCTGTTGCTTCCAAAGAAGCGCTCACTGCCTAAAGGAGAACAGGAGACAGGAAGAAAAGGGGTAAGTCAGTTTATGCATAGGCAGGTCAGAAAGACATCTGGCCATGTTTGTTAAGTGCACAATTAGCTCAAGCACAGTATCCACTGGAAGGTAATGAGTTCCCATTGACAGAAAGCCTCTAAGAAGCCCAAGTACAAACCCAGCTATGCCAGGGCATTCCAGACTGCTCAGGTCTAGAATTGAAGGGTCCTCTGAGGAAGAGAAGGAAGACCCAGTCCTGGTACTGAAGTGTATTGCACCTCATTCTATTTCTCTCTTTTTTGGTTTTTTGAGATGGTCTCACTATGTAGTCTAGGCTGGCCTTGAATTCACTATGTAGCCCAGCCTGGCCTCAAACTCCCAAGAATCCTCCTGCCTCAACCTCTCAAGTGCTAGGACTATGGGCTATAGGCATGTGGCACCACACCCATCTCTCCATTTCTAAGCCCCAAGGGATGGCAGAGAGTGTATTTCAAGGATCCTCTGAGTACAGATTTCTTTCTTCCCAGGATTCTATGAGGCCATCTATGACTAAAACCCATTGGCCCAATGTAAAAGCTACAACTCCCTGACCACATCCTGCTGCAGTTTCTAGGTCCATCCACTCAGCTAACATACAGGGGCCTCTATGCCAGCAGCCTACACACCTGTACCCTGTCTCTTGGCTTGTGGTTCATCTCCACTCTTAGGGCGACTGGCTCCCTCTGTCCTGGGGTTCAGCAGCACATATTTGCTCTTCAAGGACTCCAGCTGGTAGGAGAAGCTCTTGCTGGCGGGCTCGAACTCAATCTTCTGCAAGAGAACCTTCTTGGCTGAGGCAGCCAGGAGCTTCCCCAGCTCTACATCCTCAGCAGAGTCCTTGCGGCCAGGCTTCAGCGCCTCCTTCAACTTATCAACTATCGGCATCGTGCATGCCTGCAGGGACAAGAAGGAACACAGACTTCAGATAACTAAGTCAAGGAATGAGACCATCCCTTTTGTCTGCAGACCATGGATCCCAGCCACCATGAAAGCTTGCTGGGCCAGCTGAGTCCTCCCTCAGAGAAGTATAAGATATGGAAGACTGCAGGCCTATTAACGTTTCATGCTTCCTCTCTCAGAAAAAGTCCATGCAGATAGAGCTAACTGCACAGACAGTACTGTTACAGCACCAACACTCCACACTCCTCCTGCCATAAGTATCTCGTCTCTGCAGTAAATATGCTGAGTGATGGCACGTTGTAGTTGGTGCTATTTCCTTCAATAGGACAGGAGAAGTCCCAGTGTCTGCTCAAATATAGGGAACTGCTGATTCTCCTATACTCTCTGGTGACTCACACACCTACACAGCCACACAGTACAGGAATGAGCAAGGCAGGTGAGATGGGCACGCACACCTGCACAGACATGTGCTGTTCAGCATGAAGGCCACAGGCCACATACATCTGAGCATGGAAATTAGCACAAGAAATGAGGCTAATCCCAACTGAAATGTGCCACCATAAAAGTAAAATACAAGGCAGGCATGGTGGCCCTGGCATTTATTCCAACACTTAGGAGGCCAAAGCAGAAGAATCACCATGAGTTTAACACCAGCCTAGGCTTCACTGTGAGTTCAAGGCCAGCCTTAACTGCATCAAGAGACCTTGTCTCAAAAACCTTTTGGTAAAATAAACCACCAGATTTCAAAGACTTAGTGTAAGAATGTGGAACATCTTAAAAATTTTTCAATTGGTTACATGTTTAAATTATAATACACACACATTGGATTAAATAAATACATTATGAGAGGATGAGAGGGCTGGGGGTGTGGCTCAGTGGTAGAGCACTTGCCTAACATGTGAGGCCTTGGGTTTCTTTCTTTTTTTTTTGTCTTTGAGACAGGGTCTCACTACGCAGTTCAGCTTGGCCTTGAGCTTACTTGTAGCCCAGGCTGGTCAGGAACTCCCAATGATCCTCCTGCCTCAGTCACCCAGTGCTGGGATTACAGGCATGCATCACCATGCCCAGCCTATGAGGCCTTGAGTTTCCTTTTTAGGAAAAAAAGAATCAATTTCACAATTTATTTTTATTTTCCTAATATGGGTGCTACAGAAATTTAAATTATGGGGCCAGCGAGATAGCTCAGTGGTCTAAAGCACCTGCTTAGGTAACCTTAGGCAGTTAAGGGACTTAACTGCACGGGACCCCAGTTCTCAGTTCCATCCCCAGTACCACATGCTGTGCCAGCCCTACCCTTAGGGTGGGCTGAGCCAGTCAAAAAAGAAATTTTTTAAAAAATTATTTCCATGACTTGAATTTTATCTCCATTGAACAGGATATACATAAAATCTTTTCCTAAAAGTGAAGGGTGAGCAAAGCATGGTGGCTTGCCTTGGGAAGCTGAGGCAGGAAGACTGTCCCAAGGTCAAGGACAACCTGGGCTATATAGTGAGCTCAAGGATAAACTACATAAGACCCTATCTCAAAGCTAACAAACCAACAAAAAAATCCAGCTAGCTGAAAGATGGTAACAGGGATTAGTCACCTTGTTACACATTAGTCCCTGGCAGAGCTCTGATACTTCCAGCCCAGCTACATAGAAACTAAAACAAGGAGTCACCTATCACTTGACCACTACATCTGTAGACATTTTTCTTCTTCCTCTTCCTCTACCTCAACCACTGTAGCCAAAGCTTAGGCTATGTAAGTCATAATTAGAATATTCCCCTGAAATTACATCAGACAAAAACGTGGACTCTGATAACCAGACCCAGTCTGCCATGGACAACCAGCTAGTCAGATATATCCCAAAATTCTACTCTAGAGTCTCTTCCACCAGCTTATTAAGCCATTTAAATTTATCATTATGGGTCATCTAATTCCATACATGTATTAAATATCTTTTTCTACAAAAATTCCCCTAGGGACAAAATATATAAGAAATTCATTTTTTAATAAAATAAGCAGGGGCAAGGGAGATGGCTCAGTGGAATAAGCGCTTCCCTAGCAAGTGCAAGGGCCTGAGTTCAATCCCCGGTTCTGCCAAAAAATAAAAAATAAATAAAATAAAATAAAATAAAATAAAATAAAATAAGCACAAGGGCCAAGGAGAAAGCTCAGTGGCATAAATGCTTGCTTGGCAAGTGCAAGGTCCCAACTTTGATCCCTGGTACCACACACATACAAATATATTCTCTGATGTGAGGAAATTGAAAAGCCTTTTTCAAGCCAGGTATGGTAATACATGCCTATAGCCCCAGCTGCTTAGTGGCCCAAGGCAGGATGGCAACTTTGAGGCCAGTGTGACCAACTAAGCAAGACCCTGTTTTAAAATGAAATGAAAAAGGGCTGAGAACGCAGCACTGTAGGAGAGGTAGCATGCTTGCCCAGCAGGTGTAAGTCTCTGGGTTCAAACCCAGAGCCATACATACACATGCGCACCTCACAAAGCTTTCCCCAATGAGACTGATTAGCTAAGACAGCCCAGCAATAGAACAATCACTACAGGTCACACACTGACAACTCAGAGGAGACAGGACCATAGAAACCTCCCAGCCTTACCTGGGGCGTGCAAATGTGGGTTGCTGCTCCCCCTGAAGCAAGGAATCAGCCTCGTAAGGAACTGATCTACCCTGGCAGGCCTCCTCTGGGTCCTGGAATTCACCTGCAGCTGGACTCTGGCCTGTTCAATCACCAAGGCTGCTAAGTGCAGTGTCCAGAGGGTGGTGCACCTGTGGGAGGAGCAGGGAGAATAACAGGCAGGCTAACTCTTGCAGCTGTTCCCGAAGTCTCATCTCATGGGTGTGGTACAGGAACTGTGACCCTTCTACAAAGAAAAAGTCACCAGTAAGGTTAAAGGAACATCTCTAGCAGTAAGTTCAGTTCTTGTGAAGAGAACTGTAATGAGACACAAACTACTGCAACGCACATGACATGAAAACACTGTTCTCTGCTCTACCTCTTGAACCCTAATGCTAGTAAGAAGCCGCAGAACAAAACTCTCCCAACAACTACCAGACAACTGCAGTCTAAATCTTACTTCCAAATAGTAAGAGGTAAACTTAAAAACATACAAAAACCTACAGACACAAACAAATGTAGAGGACAGCAAAGTATGCACAATGGCCCACTGCTTGGCTTCTAACTCCTCAGCCCACAGGACCTTACAGCAGGCTTCAAATCTTGCACATCATACATACCCTCCTCCAAAGTATAATGACCTCAGGAGAAAGGGCACACCTCTAGTCTAAAAACCTTCCCATAGTATCACTGTTTTTTTGGTCAGGACTCTTATTTCACACTGGACAGGTGAGAATGACCAACACAAACCACCAGTTCATGTTCAGGAGCTACTTCCCAAGAGGACAAACAAAACTTGGGAGATGTTTCATCTGAAATAAGTGATCCATTCTAATGCAGAGCCAGAAATCTGGAACATAAATAATTTTTCCAGTTGTGACAAAAAGATCAATGTCTACCAACTCCATCTGGAATCTTAAGTGAGGGGCTAAAAATAATTATTTCTCTGGGAACCAAGAAAAATGTTCTTGTAATCACCAGCAGACCCTCTGATTTGCACACATGCAAACGCAAACGCTCCACGCAGGAAGAACGCTTTATCCAGTTCAGATTTCTCTTAATGACACAATGGCTTATACGTATCAAAGTATTTTTATGCCTCCAAAACTTAAACCAGAAATGACTTAAAGCCCCCAAATTCACGTTTCCAAGTTAAACTGCACTCAAGACAGAGCCAACGCATGTTGGAAAAGGTAAACCCAAGTCAGAAGGGATGAGGCTCTCTGAGGGGGCCTCCAGGGCTCCGTAGAGTAGAGCATCCTGAGTGGGGCAAGGACAAGACAACATGCAGGTCTCCTTGGAGCCTGTTTCCTGGCATCCATTGCAGAAACCGCACTGTATGGGCGCTGGGCTATTTCCTCATCTCCTCAGTTTCAGGATACTAGTTTAACCCCAGGGTCCCAGGAGACAAGCAACACAATCCAACAAAAACAACTAGCACCTTAAAAGTCGTTTGTGCAGTCGGCACTCTATCTGGCCTTCTGCAACTATGACCACGTGTAAGGGTTCCTTCTCCAGACCTCAGTGAAACGAGACGCATCTCCTCTACGTAGAAGACCAGGTAGCAAACGCTCTCTCTCCGCGACTTTGATTTAAGCCATTCCAAAGTTAGGAATAGACTCTGCGTTAAGATGCTTCTGTGGGCAAAGGGTTCCCAACGCGGACCCAGGCCTCGGTGTCCTCCCCTGCCCTGCACTCCTGCCTGAGGAGAGCTCTGCCTTCCATTCCCTTCGGGCTGCGCTGGGCACACGAAGGTGTCTGCGGCACCCCTTGGGTCACCCCAAATCCATGTCACCCAGGCTCCTCCTCGGACAACATCTCCGATTACTGCGTAGACAGCACATCCCCGAGTCTCCCCGAAGGCCACAACAGGACTTGAGCCGACCACACGAGCCCGGAACGCTGAGCGGGTGGCGCGGCCTCCCGCGCTGGGGAAGCCCAGACTACTGTGAGAACGGCGCGGCTTCGGACTCGCCTGGGGTACTGCTGGAGCCCCGGGCGCAAACAGCGTTGCCATCCTTCCCAGGAGACTCCCCAGGCTGCGGCGTGGACCGCGCGACCTCGGACCCTCCCAAGGAGCCCGCACTCGGAGCCCCTCGAGAACGACGTAACTCTTTGCCTTCCCTGGGATTCCCTCCGAGCCCCGACGACGCGCGCCCACTTCTCCTACGACTATCCCAGGCCCGGCGGAAACCCCCGCGTCAAGCCACCAGGCCCCAGAATACCCTCGGCGGCCCCTCAGCGGCCAGAGGCCGGTCGGCGCAGTACTGGCGTCTCTCTGGCTCCGGCCTTCACTCGCACCATCCGGGCCTCCAGCGCCTCACACACGTGTCACGGCGACGCTTAAAGGAGCCGCGCCCTGCGGCCGCACTGCGCTGACACAGAGAGGTCTAGACAGCTTTAAGAGGCGGAGCTGTCAGCTCTTTGGTTCCGCCCATCTCCGCTTTACGCGCACTTACGTCACCGCCGTGTTCCCCAGCCCCTCCCCATAGCCTACGTGATGACGCAAAGCGCAGAATTGAGAGTGTTCTGTCCCCTGGGCAGAATTGCTGGATGTTGCAACACTGCCCTTTGGGAAGCCTCACTTCTAGTACCACTGCTCGCCTGGCATGCGTCAGAATCACTAAGTGTGAGATCCTAGCGCGCTGCCTCTTCCCTCCCGTAGGGATGCGTCCGGGCCCGGTACTCCCCAGGCCTTGCAGAGGCGCTCAGTGCCCTGTTCATTTCTGTGATCTGTGTCTTTTGTAAACGAAACAACTCACCCTGGGTGTTCCCGGGGAGGCGGGCCTTGGGGGAAAAGGATCAGACAATTTTAGCTTTGAAGCTGTAAAACCCAACGCATCCTTTGTACATCCCTCCAGCTTCACTTGGTCCTTCCAGAAGCTTCGCCCTCTTCGACTCTATGTGAAGGTCTTCGTTGAGAGGTTGAATATTTGCAAATGTATGGCTCTGCAGTGAAGTTCCCCTCACTCGAAGCAGCTTCATGGGCTTCCTCACGGCCCCATTCCCCAAGGGAGGAGGACATGTTTCCTCGCCTTACTTCAGGAACTCTTTGAGAAGCACAGGGTGAGAATAAACTATTTTTCCCAAAAGATGGAACGTGCACACTGTCCTGTCTGCTGTCTTGACAGATAAGTCGGAAGGTGAGGAGTAGGGTGAGATCACAGGTGTTAGGAAAAGAAGAAAATAGGTGCAAGTTCAACAGGACAGATTTATTTCAGAACAAACCTGAGACTGACCGCTCTGGCACTACAGACCAGACCAGCCACTCTGGTACAGGATATGGGGTCTTTTATAGGGTCATGCGGGGAGGGCTTATGGGAGGGGGTTGTGGCTCTCTGCTGAGAATAAGGCTGAGAGGGTACAGGCCTGAGAGAATACAAGCCATAAAACCAAGTGGCTGCCCTCCTGTAGCTGATAATGTGTGTTCCCGAGGTGCAGCTGGCTGGTTGGGGCAGGTGGAATTCGTTGGGAGACAACCAAAAGGTGTTCCGAGCCCTCCCCATAGTTCTGAAAATCAGGGATGAGGATGGATAAAGAGCAGATGTAACTGGAACAAGATTTGCCTTGTGTCTGCTAGTGGGTGCTCTTCGTTTTGTTTTGAGACAGGTTCTCCCCATGTAGTTCAGGCTGGCCTGAACTCACTATGTAGCTCAGGATGGCTTTGAACTCTGGGTGGTCTTCCTGTCTCAGCCTCCCAAGAGCTGGAATTATAGATGTGGGCCACGGTGCCTGGCTAGCTTTTTTTTTTTTTTTTTTTTCTTTTTTTCCCACTTTGGAACCAGGGATTGAACTCAGGCCCTTGTGCTTGCCAGGCAAGTGCTTATTCTACTGAGCCATCTCCCCCCTCCCCTTTTGTAAAGCAGATAAAAACAAAGTCATATTAGCCTGAGATTAAAACTATGCTTTACCTACAAGAACATTCCATTCAAAAATTTTTGTTTGAGGTTTGCATTTATTTATTTACTTTTTTCTTTTTTGGGGGGGATTTTAGGGAGGGGTCTACAGGGTGTTCAGGGTCTCACTACTAGATCGGATTCATAGTGATCCGCCAGTTTACAGCCTCTCAAGAGCTGGAATTAGAGGCGTGTCTCAGAGTATCATCTCAGATCACTATCTCAGTGCCATCTCAGAGTGCCTTGAGGCTGGGCCGACACAGCAGGCCCTGGGATCCAACCCCTTGCTCTGTGCCTGCTTGCAAGCGCTTTAATCCACTGAGCTATTTGGCCAGCTGAATTTTGTCTTTTTTTTTTTTTTTTTTTCCAGATCCAGGGATTGAACTTGGGCCCTTGAGCTTGCCAGGCAAGAGCTTTCTGCTGAGCTATGTCCCTGGCCCCCTATTTTTGTCTTTTTGAGATAGGATTTTACCATGTGGTCCATGCTGGCCTCAAACATTAATGGATCCTCCTGCGTCAGCTTCCTGAATGCTGGGATTACAGGGGCTCAGCATCACACCCTGCTTGAGGTTTATTCTTTGTCCCCAGACAACTTTTTGTGTCCTGACCAGCATACTGCATGCCATGAAACTATGATTCAGAGGCAACTCTCACTGTCCCAGGCCTTATATAATGTGTAAGATGAGTTGCTGTCATTAGCAGGTTGCTTTGGATATTTAATTTATTGAGACCTAGATTTCCTCATCTAAGCAAAGAAAAAAGATGATCTGTAGCATATCCTTGGTTCTTTTAATAAGTCAACAATACTTGCCACTATCGAGGAGGTCATGTTTAGTGCCAAATGGTAAAGTGGCTACTAATCCTTATAGCAACCCCAGAAAAAGGTAATATTACACTCATTTTACAGGTGAGAAAACTGAACGTGTAAGATCCCACCAAGCATGTGCTGAAGTGAGCGTTTGAACGTAGGTCTGCCAGGCTCCATGCATGAGATGAAGAAGGAGATGCCTAAAACTTAAAAAAATGTAAAAATGTTACATAATTAATAAGGTCATCTGAGACCAAGAAGTTGGCAGGAGCCTTTGTCTGCCCACATGGACGCCTTTCACTTTCAAATTCCCTCGTGTAGGCCCTCAGAATGGTCTCAAGATGGTATGTTTAGGTGAGCCATGTCAGTCTCTTAAGAAGCCCAGCCTCAAAGGTCACCAGAGAAATACATATGAAAACCACACCGAGGCACTTTTAAGCCAACCAGAATGGCTACAGATGACTAAATGTAGGAGAGAGTGAGGAGCAGCAGGGATCCCCATGATGCCGCTGGGAATATAAAAGGACAGCAAAATTTTAGTAATATGAATACTTCTTTTAAGTGAAATGGCTACCCTTGACCGCATTTGTTGCTTTGTTGACTGTTACTATATCTGCAGGCCAGACCCTCTTTCCTCCCTAAGCCCTGTTTGTAAAATCAGAAATCCAGAAACTGCCTGCTGGCTGGACAGCTTCCCCTGAATGTCTCCCTGGGTACTTCAGACTTACCATGCCGAGAGATGGGCAGTGCAGCCCTGTCCCCCCAAAGGATGCTTCTCTTTTTGTCCTGTTGCCCACGTCTACTGGGTTGTCAGTGCTCAGACCAAATTCACAGCTGTCCCTGTGTCCCAGCAGGGCTGCGACATCTGAATTTACCTGGCTTCTTGTGAACTGGTTTCCGGGTGGGTCCAGCCACAGGTGATACCATTAAGCCTGGAGGGCAGATGAAAGGGCCTCTCCCTCACCCCACCCCTTTTCCTCTGGGTCCCCTCAGGTGACACAGCTTCCAGCCTCTACAAGTGTTGACAGCTTCCTGCTGTTGCTAGTCTTTTTTTTTTTTTTTTTTTTTGGCAGAACCAGGGATTGAATTTAGGCCCTTGCACTTACCAGGGAAGTGCTTTTTCCACCGAGCGGTCTCCCTGGCCCCTTTTCTAAAAATTTGATTTTAGGGAATGGTCTACAGGGGGTTCAGGATTTTATTACTAGATTGCACTCATAGTGATCCTCCTGTTTATAGCCTGCCAAGACCTGGGATTACAGGCTTGCGCCACCGGCACGCCAGGTCTGGGGATCGGAAACCCTCCCCCCATTGCCCATGTGCCTGCTTTCAGGGCTTTAATCTGCTGAGCTATTTGGCCAGGCCTTGTTGCTAGTCTTAGTTGCCCACTTTCCTAGCTGGCCTCTCAGGGAGTTTCTTCCATCAGTAATCAATCATTGTTTCTTCCATCACTGCAACCAATCCCAGTTCTTGTTTCCTGTTTTAGAAGTCATACACAGTGGTTCTGGTGATCTGCCTGCATGGCCTGCATCCTGGGCTCCTCTCTTGCCTTGTACAAATCATTAATCTACAAACCTTTGATATTACCTCTGAAATACTCTCAAACCATCGTTTCTCGCCATCTTTGTTTTTACTGGGATGGCAGATGCATTGCTCAAACTAACTGACAGACTAGCGAATTAAAAAGCCAAACCCGAACACATCGCTCATCTCATCGAAACCCTTCCTTGGCTTCTGATGCTGAGCGGGACACTGAGCTCCATAGTGTAGACTCTATAATGAACTCTGGGGCTTGAGCCCTACTTTTCTAATTTGCATCAGTCCCAGCCACTTCCATTCTGGAACCTTCAGCAGGGCCCAATCCAAATCTCCAGTCCCTACCTCCAGACAAGCTATATCTGCTTCAGGCTTAAGCTGACCTTTGTCTAGAATTCCCTTTCCTACTTGCCCTGCAGCCCTTCATTCAGGCACCACCCCATCTGAGAAGTCTTCCTGAATTCCTTTCATCCCTGCTGTTCCCTCAGATTCTCCTCTGGACTGTGCCTGTCCCCTCATCGTGACTCCAAAGGGCCAGGACCATGTTTCCTTCATGTGTATGTCCCTGGGCCTGATCCATAGCAGGTACACCATGAATAGGTATTTATGGAAGAGAAGCAAATGGAAAATGAAATGTTTGAGATAAGACAGTTGAAAAATCTCTGATCCTGAAAAAGAACACTGGAAAAACTGGTGATAAAGAGCAAAATAGAAAAAAATACAACCAAAATTAATCACATTAGAAGTTATCTTAAGAAAAAAGACATTATCAGGGTAGCAATACTGTCATTCAGGGGCTGGCTCCATGCCTTGGAGTCAAGACGCAGTGACCTCACACCTTCCCAAGTCTCAGCCCGTGGCCGATGTGCACTAATTTCTGGAGAGACCTACGCTATGTTTGTGATTGTCTCAGTTAATTTTTCTCTCATTGCTGGAATAAAATACCCGACAACCCAAAGTAAGGAAGGAAAGGTTTATTTAGTTTATAGTTTGTGGAGATTTCAGTACATAATCAGCTGGCTCCAAGGCAGAGTGGCACATGGCAGAGGGCAGCTGTACGTGGTGGCGGAAAATGGTAGAATAGCAAGAGCAGAAAGGAAGGAGCAGTAACAGAGAGAGAAAGCCCCTTGCCCTTTCTTGTACTGCATCTAGGCTATCTGACCCCGGGTGGGTGTAGCACCCATAATCCCAGATTTGACCATGAATTAATCACTCCATGACTGCATGAGGCTTTTGGGAGGACACCTAGACAAATCCATGACAGAGATGGTAAATTAATAATCTTCTTCTGACCTCCAGTCAGGAGCTTGGCCTACCCAACCCTGACCCTTCCCTAGAATCTGCCTAATTAACTTCCAATCCCCAGCCTAGTTGTACGCAGTGAGAAAAGGTCCTGAGATGGGGCATTTGGGACCTCTCCCCTGGGTGTGCACCTTTTCACAGATAGGTTTGGTGGTTTGACCAACAAGCAGGGAACAGGCCTTCTGTTCCGTAGAGGCTGTGTGCATTTTTCTGCCACCTCCTTCCTTGCCCACAAAAAGTTTTCTCTCAATTTCCCAGTACCAAAAACAAAGAGTTCTGTCTCAAAAAAGATTCTCCCTCTGCAAGCACTGCTGGTGTGCGTGTCCCCATGTGCTTAGGAGCTGTTCCCAGTTGCATTAGCACTGCCTGGATGTTTGCAGAAGCCATTCCTACACTGACTCCCCATCTCGCCTCACCTCTTCACGACGCCACGTCCCTGTCTTCCCCACCAACAGCGCTCCCTGTGTTCTTTTGGGTATTGTCCATGCAGGTGGTTTCCGGATTTATCAGGCTCCTTTGCTCTGTGTTTTCCCTGGTTATACTTTGTAACACAGC